TCATACAGGGACGAGACGGCCCTCAACAGATCGCCTCTGACCCCATACTCCCCGAGCACCCTCCACAGAATGCCGCGAGGGACACGATCAAATGCCTTCTCCAAGTCCACAAAACACATGTGGACTGGTTGAGCATACTCCCATGAACCCTCGAGCACCCTGGTGAGGGTATAGAGCTGGTCCAGTGTACCACGGCCCGGACGAAAACCACATTATTATATAGATTATATAAATTTATATTTTCACAGTTTCAAGTTCAAAATTATTCAAGGGTTCTTCATTAACAAAAAAAATAGCAATAAAAATAAATAAATAAAAACAGGTGTGCTTCTCTGAAAAACTAAAGATCATTAAAAACAGCGTTTTAGAACAAATCAATAATCCATTCCATTTAAAAAGACAAATAATCATAAAGATGATTCAATAATCCATTCATAAAGAAAAAACACCTTTACTCTTACAGACATACTCTTTTCCTTTACATATGCACCAGACACTTTCTTATAAACGGTTCACATTTCTGAGAAAACCTAGTGCCATTTTTTGTGTGCTTCACACAGGTGAGTGGGCTTGACAAGCCACCTCTAGGTGATATCCTTGCCTCTCTGTGCACATGTGTATATAAAAGTTTGTATGAAAAAAATTGTCTAATCTAATTTAGACTTGTCATGGCATCTTTATATTGCTGCGCTTTCTGACTGGGGTGTTTCTTCTATTCTCCTTTGTAAATGGCTTTGGATAAAAGTGTCTGCTAAATAAATAAAAGTGGATATCTTTTAATATCTTTTAAAGCATCATTTCATTTTTTTATTAACATTTTAATATTCTTTATGAAAATTTCATCAAAAAAATTATCATAATCATCATGAAAAATTATTTTACTTATACTGCCCATCTTTAAACATGGCATGACAAAGAAAAGTAAATGTAAATGTGGTCTTTTTAAAATGAAAATGTGACGTGTGCCATGCATGTATTTGTTTACCGTTTTAGAAATACGAGTCATAAGTTTCAAAAAATGTATTTCAGCAATCGAGAAAAAACGTAATGAGTGTTTTCAAACAAGTTTATTTTAGCTTTTAGACAATGAAATACACAAAACTACATGCAAAACGAAACAGAAGGTTTGTAAAATACACACAAATGTCATGGACACACACACACACACACACACAAACACACACA